TTACAGTAATTATAGTTTGTATTTCTTCTAAAATAATGAGTCAGTTAAATTATTGAGACTTTTTGGCTATCATTTTGCCACAGAATACATTATTTCTAACTTAGCTAATTTCAAGTTTTCATCTCTTACTGTATATAACTGAAATTAAATACACTTCCATCATTTGTATGCCATTCTTTCAGATACTCAGATGTCTACCTTTAAATTGCTTTTATCTGCTATCTTCCTGCAAATATAATTGTATTCAGAAGAGCTCCAAAGCTGAATGCACAAGAAGACATGTGAGAAATAATGACTTTGCAACTCAGAAGAGCAATACTTAAGTTTACACAAATACAGCTAATCTAATACTAATTTAAAATGCAGTGTTTAAGATTATGTGTTGGTTTGAGACTCATCCTACTAGCAATAGTTTTAAAATGAATCTGTTAACACTCATGCAATTTGTTCTTTTTGGGTTAAAGGTCAGTAATTTCAGTTATGTGACTGCACGGTTAAAATAGTAGTGGAACTTGTGTTAACATTTTAATCTGGAAAGGAAGCTCCTTACAATTCTAAAAACCAGAAAAGTAAAACAACAGAAAGTACAACTATTCTTACCCAAGATTATCAGGGTCAAAAACACGGTTCAGATCACAGTCAATGTATCTAGTACACTTCTTCACAGCTCTTGGGTTGGTAAGAAATGGTTTCACTTCCATTCCTGTTCTTTGAATCTCAGCTCCATTCTCTTGCCAGTGCTTGACCAAAAATACCCCTGATAACTCATTGCCATGAGTTCCCCCGAAGATAGCAACCCGTCTTACCGGAGGTTTATCAACAACAGAGGAGGAAGTCATGCTTTTCAGCAGCTCTAAGAATTGCTGAAAGCAAAACAGAAAATAATGATAAAGTAAAACTTTTGTCTCAGAAAAAAAATAATCTTTTTACTCTTTTAAATAGGAAATTCTTTAAGCCTGTTTAGGTCAGATGTGAATGAAAGTGAATTAACATTTGTCTAACAGTTTTAGACTCCTGTTGCGAGGCGGGGAGTTGCTAACCTGACACTCCTCCCTCCCGAGGAGCCCTCCCCTTCATTTACCATATTTAGTAATATCTCCAAGTCTGTTAATGGTACTGTTACACAGTTCAAAAGTTAACTTCTCCAGGCAATCTCTATTAATATATGATATATAGGTAAATCTTGTACTAATGACAGTATGAAAAGCCTTTTAAATGTAAACTTTAATAATGCACTTAAATATCTCTGACATTTTTGCATTGCAAACTAGGTGTAACAAGTATACTCATGTATGTTTGAAGTTACATAAAGATTACAGTATACAAGGGCAGAATGATTTAAAGTGAGCAAAAACAGTAAAATATGAATCATATCTTGGCTCTAGATCAACACAATGCTGAAACATCAAGTACTTTCATCTAAAAAAACAAGAACAGCTGAGTTCCTCAAAGCACGTTGTTGCTTGTATGACCTTTTTTGTTTTATAATATCTGAAGAACAGTGATTAGAAGGACCACTAGCTGAAATTAAAGTGCAATTTATCCACGACTGACTTGCCTAGTATTCCTGGCTCTAGTTCTATCTCGGGATCTGCTAACACAGACCTCTAACACATTGAAACAACTTTGCCAGTGACGACCCTTCTAACTTCTGCAATCTCTTATTAAAAAGGAAACAGATATAGACCACAATGGGACAATAGTTGTGTTCTCCCCCAGAAAAAACCTTAGTCAACAACTTGACTGCTTCCATTTCCAAAAGCATTCAGACAGGCTTCTGAAACTTAAGTCAAAGAGCAGCCATAACTTCCATCATGAGGATCAAAATATTTAGAATAAAAGGTCTTAATAACAGAAAATAAGTTTTACTGCTGTAAATGACAGAAGTATTTGCAATTAGTATCCGACACATGATGGAAATGTAAAAAATGTTACATTGCAAGGGAATAAAGAATGTTTATTGAACAATCCCTTTTTATTAAGATTATACTCTAGTGACTGAGAGAGTATTTGGCTTCTGCCTGGGAGAGGCTTTATAACCCAGGCTGATAGACTGTAGGTATACGAAAAGAAAGCTAAACATAGGACTTATCTAGACAAGTTTGCCAGGAATATATTTCCTGCAAAAGTTGCTCCCTATGTTTCAGCTTATGCATACAGATTTGCTGAAACTCACAGCAAGTTAATACAGAGAGACTGTTTACTTAAACACTCAACTGTATTACTCCTATACTTAGAAGCTGTCAGCTATTTAATCATAGTAAGTAATTTATTAAACAAAGCAGTAAAGTTGTATTTTACAGCACTGGACAGTCTGTACTGTCCTTTGACCCCAGTCTCTTCAGCGGTGGTGCCAAAACAGCTATTTACACGCTGCCTGAAAAAATGACTCATACTCTGAATCTTGGTTTGCTGAATTTAACCACCACAGAAGTTTCAAGAGTAAATGGCAAAATGCAAACATGCACTGCTAGTACGTATAGTTTATCCTCTATTGCTGGTGGTACTGTAATGGTTGTAATTCCTTGCAAAACGCTGAATGAAATACAGAGATCGTTTGTGCACTTACCTCATTTAACATGCAAGAAGTTTGTCTCCTAAGAAGAGCTTTCTTAGGACAGTTACAGTGCATTTCCAAACATGAGTTTAGGAACTAAAGCCATGGAGGCTTCTTTTATACCCTTAGAGCACGTTAACTTCCAAGCAGCTTTTAACTCCTGGTCTCCCGGGAGGTTACAAGCACCCGCGAATTTGTGGCATAAATGCAGACCCTTGAAAAGCTTTCACTCTTCTGAACTAAACACCGGGACCAATCCCTTATTCCTGTGCTTTGCCAATACTTACACTTAGAAAAAATATGGAGAATCGTATTTAGTTTATTAAGAATTCAGATTGTTTTTATGTACTACATACAAACACCTGGTAGTGCATCTGAAAGCTTAGAATGTGTGCCACGAGCTGAAAAACATACGCAGTAATAAAACGTAAATAAAATGAAGTCTAGCTGTCAAAGCCACGAAGGTATATATGTAAGAAGTGTAACGTGGCTCTCCAGAGCCTTCCAAGGCACGGGCTGAAGCAAAAATTGGGGTTACAAAAAAAGGACAGGCTCCAACCCTGCTGAGCGCTAAGATTTTACACAGGAACCAGTCAGAAGTTACACGGTTGAGAACAACCACGTGTAACACCCAGAATAGTGGCTGAAGAGAAAAACAGCGTGCAGAACGCGGAGAGTGTTATTTATATCCATGTTTGTGTTCACACATTGGTGGGTATTCAGCTCCTGCGCCAGGTTCTCCAAGTGCTGAACATGGCACCACGTGGGCCAGTTCCAGGGGTACGGAGATAATTAATTAAATCCTACAGAAGACCAATTTAATCGTTCCCGCGAGCTGCCCTCCCCGCCGCGCTCTCCCCAGCTTGGGACAGACAGCTTCCAACCACGCCGGGGCCGGGGCAGGGACCGGGGCCCCGCGGCGCCAGGCGCCCCCTCACTGAGGGCCTCCCGCGGCCAACGGCGCCTGCGCCAGCGGCGCTGCTCTGCCGCCTTTGAAAGGAGAGCGCGGTCGGCCCCTTCCCGCCCTTTTCTCAGTCAGGCGCGAGAGCGTGGCCGTTTCGTCCGTTATTTTTGGCGGGCTTCACCTCAGCCCTTTTCTTCCGACTCCGGAAGGACTTCAGACTCCTTTTTTTAGCCTGTGACTGGTACTGCTCTTGTGTGAAGTACTGCGGAGGCTTACCCTGGTATCTCCTGTTCTCCATCCTTAGCTTACTTTTTTCTACAGCTTTAGCGCTGGGTTTTGGTTGCTTATCTTCAAGAGAGGACAGAAAGCAAGACAATACAGTCTAAAATGCTGTGCAACACCAAAATGGGCTTCATAAACAGAAGTGTTGAGTTTATGGGGTTTCATTTTACAAGTATGTCACTTACTGGTGGCCATTAGGCTTCTTAGTGCTAGCAATACAGTTTAAATTGTGTAACAGCAATGAACTAGAAGCTGCTTTAATGTCACACATGTAATGATGTACCTCACAGAAATAAAGAGTGAATTGATCTGTTAGTCTAGCTGTGGTAGATACTTGTGCTTCATTCCTATCAACATCTTTAAGAGCTGCATATGGTTAACTGCCAGATCAAAATAAATGTAATGTCTTATTTGTACACACAAGTATGCAGTATTTTCATATGCCACTAAAGGCAATATGCACTAGTAACTAACTTTGACAGAATAGCAATTAATGCTACACAACAGTCTGTGTAGTATCCTCAATGCATACAGTAATACATAGACATTTACTATAGAAGTAGATTAATCAGAAAACAAATATGGCAAACTACGTATACCTAATATGCTAATATATACTTTTTCTGTTCATAATATTTGGCTGATAATAATGGTTTTTTTGGCTTGTGAAGTATTTTATATGTGAGGAAATAGGCTAAAGGTTTTAGGTCTGTACCATAAAGTACAGAAAAGAAGTTTATTCTTTGGAGCGTGATGCTATTTTTCCCAGAATAGTTAAATCTTTTTTTTTACTTAAAGCCATGTACCTTGCCATCACACTTTGCAGCAAAGTATAGGTATGCATTTTCTATTTGTATTCTATTTTCAGGAGTTAAAAAATATTCCTTGTATTTGAATGTATATGTACTTTTAAATTCAGAAATGAATTCAGAATTTTTACAGCATTTTAAAAGAGAATACAACTTTTACTTCAAAAATATAATCGTTTGGGCCCTTAATCTGCAAAGAGCAATTGCATGTTACTTGTGTACCCGTGGATCTTCTAAATTCAGTACAACTGCTCGCACGTTTTAGGCTTGTGTCTGAAGTGATGCATGTCACCCGGTGTACAGGGAGTTAAGAGAAACTGCCATAAAATCACATAAAATTTGGATGTGTTTACAACATGAATTACTTTACTTTGTCTGCTTATCTAACTTCCATACAGCAAATTTGGAGTAATCAATACATTGTTGCCTATTAAGATACAGCAAAGAAATGAAAAGGAGTCTAGCTGACACTTCAACTCGCAGCACAGCAGGTACCATCCATTCTTTTGTGCTTTATCATTCATACCTCATTATGCATATATACACACACACACAGACACACATGCAGTATTCATACAGGATATACACTGTTCAGTCCTAGACCCCCATTTCCTGAGTGCACTTGCATGGGTTATCTGTTTTATTGCAGCACAGGGCAAGATTTTGAGTGGAGTGAGGGGACTGGTCACTAAGGAAAATGTTTCATTCACAGGATTATGTGCAGAACAGAGGGCTGGGAATATAAATTATGGCTGGTCTGTTATGTGTTTATGAAATGTAATTCCTATGAATGATGTAAAATAATTGTTAAGTAATTTTATTTACATATTTTAAGTGTTGATTGTGTATCCTTTTGTTATTGTATAGTATTATTACTTGAATTTTAATTTTAGGTTGTCTGCCTGTACCTCTGTTCAATCAGAAAAAAAGAAATAGACAGCCCCTCACTTCAAATCCACTTAAAAATGAGCCAGGTACCAGTTCTGGGACTCGTACTTACGACTTTTCTCCCACATCATTCGGTAAATAAGATATGTTTTATTTTTTTAATGGCTCTAAATCCAAATAAACGTTAACTTTATGATTGTATTTTATTAAATTAGACATTGTATTTATGAAGATTTATCAAGAACTATATGCATCCTTTATGTTTATTTCTGAAAAGTTCATTATGTAAAAAATGTCCTCCAGGAAATTTCTTTCTCCTCTATACAATTGAGCTTTTTATACTTTGTGCCTAGAGGGAGTTTGACTCTTTGTGTGTTAGAGAATGAAGTAGCACTGGCATTTAAATAGAGTCTCTTGAAACTCTGACCTTTTGTTTTCAGTTGATTTCAATCAACATTCAAGTCCTGTGTTACAAGAAGAAACATTTATAAGATGTCTTTCTTGTAATTCAGAAGAGAATTTCTGTTCTTCAAATTCTGCTTGGAAAGAATGATGCAGAATTCTGCCTTTAGTACTTTCTTTATGTTTTACTTAAAGTGAAAAAGTTTATTTATAATAAAGTCTCTGTGCTAATAAGTCTAATGTCTGTAACTTAACCATTGTCTAGAGAAGCAACCTACTTGTTAGCAGTTGCCTTATAATTACAGATATCAAAGGATCACGTTCCCTTCCCCCCCCTTCTCCTTCCTGTGTGAGACTATTTGTGGAACATTAAGCAGATAAAGAGTAGGAGCCCTAAGTAGACCTATTACCTTTCAATCTTTTCAGTTTGTATCCATGTTCAATGCTTTGTCTTTTGAGAATTAGGCTGGGGAACTGCAAACCCAGAAGTGGCTGAACTACAGAAAGCAGCAAACAATGGGTATGTAAAAGTAGATTATTTGTTGCTTATTGATTTTTATTTGGGTACTCATTGTTTCACAAACTATGATCCATATGTCTGTCTTACAATAAAGCTGCTACTACTGTCACTGATACTTTAAACTTACCTTTGAAAGCCAAACAGAACATCAGATGGCTCCTTCCCTTATGAAACCACCAAATGCATCAAAGTCTAATTTAGCAAATGCTCGAAGAAACTTGTATGCCTACAGGTTGGTGAAGTCTTTAATTTTTACTATCCTTCCTTAGCCAAAATTATTCTCATGTGAAAATATAACTTAAATTTTCCATATTCTTCTAGCATTCAGAGAGACTCTCTTAATTCTCAGATCATCACTGATCATAATCCCATTGTGCTTATGAGCCAAAACCCGCTGAAATGATTTTGCCAGCGTACCTAATGAGGCCTATTAATTAGACCTAGTATCTAGCCTTATTATCAGGCCAAAAATTCAGTCTCACCATAAAGGTTGATTGAATTTTCCTGGTCTTAGAATGTAATTTTTTGAGATTCCCTTTTACTTGAAGTTTTGCCCACTTTCAAACCAAATTTTTCAATAGACTCAAATAAGTTTCTATCAGTGTACATTAAGGCAACTGTATATCGAAACATTTAATCAAAACTGAATACAGTTGTGAACTCTGTGCTTTTATAAACCAAGGAAAAGCTTACAGATTCAGATGCCTAGAGCTGGCAGGAAAACTTCCAGCAGTGTTGTCCTTTTTCTCTCTTCCCTTCATCCTATTCCTTTCCAATGGCAAAAAGAGAGTGAATGTTTCAGACAAGTGCCTTCAAAGGCAAAATGGAATGGAGGTGGAAGGAATTTCTGAGCCGCCTTTATAAAATGAAGGGTGTTAGAAATAATAAGGTCAGCACTGGAGTTTGTTGTAAAATTATTTCTTCCATGATGGTGGTAGAAGAATTTGGAAATACCACTGTCAGAAGAAACTTTGCTTATTTTATTTTAGAGTTATGGAAAAGATGTGAATCTTAAGTCAGGAAGGATCCCTCATACAGGGCAGGACAATGATTAAGCAAGCTTTTAAGGCCTATTGAGTTCAGCTGGATTTAAGCACAGATGTGGTCACTGCCCTGTATATGGATAAATTTAAGTTTATAAAGTGCTTTGAGTCTGAATATTTAACAGATGTTTTTAAAGCTAAAACAACAATACATCGATTGCTTTTATATACTTTAATTATGTCTCTGAGTATTCAGAATAGATACGGTAAATCTGAACTATGTCTTACGTTGTACTGCAGGGCAGAAGAGAAGACTCCCAGTACTAAAGTTTGGAACAGAAATGAGTATGCTCCTTTAAGAAACACAACAGATTCGAGATCTGATAGTGGAATTATTCGAAAGTTTGAGAGCCTTTCAAATAGTTTGAAAACTGTCCAGCAGCAAAAAAACCCTGATAACCGTAATTCATCTCAGCATATCAAAACAACCGAAACCAGCCAAACATATACATCTAAAGGACAATGGCCAGTGAAACCTAAAACTGTTTCAAAAAGTCTGCAGGATCATAGTGTGGCATACAAGTTTAACCACAATATTCAGCAAAATAAAATGAATGAAAACCAATTTGATTGTGTTCCAGAAGACAAAAGTCAGGTAAACTTATGGAGAGGGTTAATAGGAAGATACAATGAAGAAAATAGTAAAGAAGAAGAAAATAGTGGAAAGATGAGGCTCTCATCAGTCCTAGCTGCCTTAGTAAACCCTTAGGTTTCTGAAAATTTAGAAATGAGATTTTCATACTATAATAACCTACAATACTCAGCATGATCATATAAATATGTTTGTATAGTCTGACAAATACTCTAATTTGACTGTAAATATTGGATATTTAATATATAGATATGTTTGTATAGTCTGACAAATACTCTAATTTGACTGTAAATATTGGATATAATATATAAATGTCTATGTGCCTTTTAAAATTGTGTGTATCTAACTGGAGTTTTCATCTTCCTCTGAAAGGAGGTTTCATCATCTCAATTAAAAATTAAAGAAAAAAAGAATTCTTTGCGAATCGTATCTGCAGTCATTGAAAGTATGAGGCACTGGAGTCAATATGCTTATAAAACTGCACTATTATTTGAAGTTTTAGGTAAGCATAATGTCTATGTGCCTTTTAAAATTGTGTGTATCTAACTGGAGTTTTCATCTTCCTCTGAAAGGAGGTTTCATCATCTCAATTAAAAATTAAAGAAAAAAAGAATTCTTTGCGAATCGTATCTGCAGTCATTGAAAGTATGAGGCACTGGAGTCAATATGCTTATAAAACTGCACTATTATTTGAAGTTTTAGGTAAGCATGGTAGATTGTGCTGTAACTGACAATAATGGTAGGATAACAGCCAAGAGAATATGTTATTAACTATAGGTACAATAGCTGTAATACTTAAAAACACAAATTACTGTCATGAGCACCATCTAATTTTCCTGCTGGGAGATCCATTCAGCTATCAAATCTGACTAAATAGGTGCAAAATTAATAATACAATTATCCTCCAACACTTAAGCTCTTTCTATCCTGTTTCTTTTTTTTTCCTTGTTTTTAGAATACAATACACTTTCCTATTAAAAAGGAACCTTCTGTAGGGAGGTACAGTTTTACAGTAATTTTTAATGCAATTAATCTGGGAATAAATTCAAGTCTGGCGTACTTCTAAACATATATGACAGTGTGTTTCACTTTGCGTTTTAATTGACGTTATCTGAGAAATGAACATGACAAAAGACTGAAATGACTAAACTTTAAATCAAGGTGAATAAGCATATACAATGTAATTGCATCTCAGAAAACTATTTTGACAACGTTGCAAATATTTAAAGTTGATTTGCATATCAATACCAATAAAACTTAGAGAATTGTGTTGTGCTCTGCTTAACAAGGGAATAACCTGTTTACGATGACAGCTATGAAAACCACATTTGGTTACTCAGTTTAGAGAGACATCATATACAATTTTGCTATGTAAAGTAAAGACTATGTAAAGGCTGTAATTTTTATTGGAGCTTCCAGTGCTGTCAGCACAAATTCTGATGCTGACTTGATATATCTTAGCACTTTTGTGTAGTAAATGCTGTCATGGTATCTTTGTAGACCATAATTAGTACTGCTCCGATGTTTACCTCACAATTTATTTTTGCTAAATGGTATAGGCACACTTGATTCTGCAGTCACACCTGGAGCCTACGGGGCAAAGAATTTTCTTCTGAGAGATGGAAAGGAGAGTCTGCCTTGTGTATTTTACGAAATTGTAAGTATTCCTGTGTACAATTCCTATGTTGTACATAACACAGATGCCACTAGCTATAATTCCTTTTATGAAGCTAATAATACGTTGTTCTGATAAAACAGAAAATTTCTGTGTAAAAGGAAAGCTGGATGCTCATTCCATATTGTTCCCAAACTGGTCTAGAGCCAGTCACTGTTTAGGCATCCTCAGACTTCTGTTTCAGCAAAAAAGGTGGGATATTCAGTTCAGCTTCTAAGTAGTTAATAATAGCAAAACAGCTGATGTAAATTCCTTCTGTGTTTGATGTAGTCTTCAGAAATCCACTAATATCTAACAACTGGACATTTTGAAAGCTTTTATGTTAGAAAGGTGATAAAATTTTTTTGTTTATTATGCTTTTGATGAAGGACCGGGAGCTTCCAAGACTAATTAGAGGTCGAGTGCACAGGTGCATGGGAAACTATGACACAAAAAGGAACATTTTCAAGTGCGTCTCTGTAAGACCAGCAACTATTCAAGAACAAAACACTTTCCAAGAATTTGTTAAAATTGCAGATGTTGAGATGACAGCATATGTAAAAACAATGAATGAAATTTAAAAGTCGAAATGGTTGTCCAAAACTGATTTTCACTCATCATTACCCATAAAGGCTGGATATTTACCAAAACTAATACTGAAAATCTGATTAAATAATTGAAAATATCACTATGCTATGTTATCCAACAAATGTTAGTAACAATGTTTTGTTTCCACTATTACTTTTCATAGCTTATCTTTCCCAGTTAAATACGCAATAACAGGGTTTTGTTACATAGTAGATTAGATTTTACTGGAGAAATTCTGAATTAAAATGTTTAAGTTTTGCAGTAGTGCAAGTGTCTTAAAAAAAGATCATCAATACTAATTCAGATTGCCATTGCTTTTCATTATCTTCAATTTCTAGAAATTGAATTCCTTCAATACCTATTTCAAAATGTTGACTATATACTTCTTTTGAGGAGCATTTGGTCAAAGTTTAATAGCTAACAAACATCAACAAAGTTCTGTTTGGCTCTGTATATTGCATTAAAACTGCTCTTTGGTAGAAAGTAAGGAGGTAGTCTTTATTCCACTTAATTCCAACTAACAGGTTCCCTTTCCTTTGCTGGGTTACAAGAACATGTGTAAAAGCTTTTCTAGAAATGAACATGATAGATACTACAGAAAGATTTCACAGGATGCAGCTGTATATATTAGGTTCCCATCATATGGTTCCCATTGATATGTTATCTGATTCATGTTTTTTAAAAAAATAAATAATCAGTAGAACACCTGTATAAAATAGCAACAGACCCTGCAGCTGTAGGAAGATTGCTCAAGGACACAGAGGAAGATGGAGAGAAATAATTATTTGAACACAGAACTTCCTTGCCTTTGCCATAGAAACATCTTTCAGGAGGGATGGACCATGTACATGTTTATGTGTCTTTGCCTTCAAACATTAACTTTCATAGATTATTCCTGCTGCTTCTATTTCCTTTTCCCCTTAGCTAGTTCCCCTACTTCAATAGCTTTGTACCAGATCTGTTGGGAATTGTAAAACAAAAGTGTTGTCAAGAAAATAGTGAACAGTGTGATTTTTTTTTTTTTATTTTATTATACAGTGTTGGCAATTGGAAATTTCACATTTAAAATAATTGAAATATTGTATCCAACAAGTCAAATACAGAAAACAGTTAATATTCTAAAAAGGAGCCAGCTAGTCCACGCAGAAACACATTAATGGAAAATACAGCTTTTAGTTACACTTAAAAAATTATATATTTAGAATAAAACTTGAACCTGGTCCAGTAAATCATTTGACTTGTAACAGGAAAACGCTTTTACACAGTTTAACGTGCAGACAGTTTTCATTTAAAAAAGTGATCTGTCAGTGTTAGCACATGTATTGTTGACAACACCCCCCTTAATGTTCCAGTTGAGGATCTAAAGTATATGCTTTACTAACTGTTGTAAGAATCACTTGCATTATTGTCTCTACCTTCTGTGCTAAGCTGGTTCTGAGCGTGGATGTTTCAAGGAGAGTTTCGTCTATGCAGTTGTAGAGGTCATATAAGTATATTTGATTTCCTTTATATATTATAAGATATGAAAGCAAGTTCCAAATGGAAGCATTAGCTTAACTCATAAAAGGTGCAGAATATTACCAGACGTAGAGCTTGACGATGTTCATAACGGTTGTTAGTTGAGTTTTAAGAAGTAAAGGATTTGGTACAGCGGTGTTGTAAATTGTAAGACTCCGTTGTAACAGTAGATTAAAACTATGAAGGAAGCTTGAACTATGGGACCAGACCTGCAAGCATCTGTGCGTGTCATCAACATCGCACAGATGTTGTAGTCCTACTGATTTCAGTTGAATGATAGATAGATGGTTCCAGTTCTGCACACATAAAAGTTATGTTAATAACTAGTGACAGGAATAGGTCATTTGTGTCTACTAGGTATGTTACGGCTGTTAATAAAAATCTAAAATAATTTTACTTTCAGTAAGTGTTTAGATCTTTGCAAAAAAGTTTTCTACTTTACACTAACAAATCACTTTTTCTAGTGAAACATTAAGTGAACAGTCGTAAACATTACACAAAACAGAAAAAACCCTACGTAGTACAGTTTATACACATTACTCAACATTTTTCAGTTGTTGCTTGTTTTGCTTTTTTTTTTTTAACCATATTGATCCTGTCTTGTATAATAGTTCTAATGTAAAGGCACAGGTTGGTTAGGAAAGAAAAGCCTGCATCTCTGTCTCTCTGCTTCGTGGTGATGATTTTCTTTTTACATGTTGTTTGTTATTCCTCACTTTTCTGACTCTCATGAAAATTATCAATTTCAGCCATTCATTAAAAAAAGTGTAAGACATTACTGAAAAGTACATTACTATACAGAAGTGACTGAAATTCTTCTTACTTTAGAGGCATTCCTTCAACCTATTTTGTTAAATATTTGGAAGATTTAATTCCTTAGTCACTGTGAGCAAAAACGCATAGCACGGGCTCTCTCTCTCTTTCTCAGTGTACTTAATTCTACATTGAAATCTGTATTTTCAAAGATTAGTAATGGAACTTGCTAAGTTTATGTGCAGAATTTGCTTTTAGAATGCTTGAAAATGTAACAACAGACAATTATTCTGGAAAACAGCGCAATGTTCCATTGAAGTTTAGAAGGGTGAGGAATGTAAACAAGACTGCAGAAGTCTTTGACATTTATTAAAATAACACAGTGATTGTTCTATCTGTTTGCATTTTCTTATACCCCCTCAACATGTCTCTGTCTGTCCCTTCGTGTACACGTTCCATTAAAAAAAAAAAAAAAAAACAATTCAGGAATCAGTTGGACTCAGCTAAGTGAAGAATAATAAATTTGATCAATTGGTTTGTGCCAAAATAGAAAACTAAGAAGTACAGCTCTGAATTAAATATAATCTATGTGATTATTTCTTTTTTAATAAATAATAGAAAATAAAAGATGAGAATAGAATTAGAATTCAATTTTTATTTTAAATGAAAAACATAACAGTGGGGTGAGATTAGAACCCAATGTTTCTTTTGCTTAAGGCAATCAAGTGCACTTATTTCAATGCTTGATAGTAATGAATTCGGTGCTATTGTGGAAATCAGACTTCACAAATTTCACATACAAACCCATGAAATATGGCCATTTGCTAGTTCTGACACAGCATCAGATTATTCTTATTAGTCGTGTCCAGTAGCATTTTACTTCACTTTTTTGGTTTTGGTTTTGGTTTTTTTTTTACAATAATGGGCTTTTAATAGGAATGGAAATATCGGAATCTAGTTCATTCTGGCTTGTGTTATCACTACATACAAGGGCCATTGGGCACAGACATTTTTGTAAACAGAGATTTTTCTTTTCGGCCTTAAAAAACAAACAACAAAACCCAAAATCTAAAGTTGTAATAGCTCAAATAATTTTGTAAAAGTCCACCTAAAATTATAATTTAAGAAATACCAAAAACAAATTCAAAGTTTTTCTAAATTTTATGCAAGTCTTTATGAAGGTGACTGTAAATCTTGAAGATTAGATCAGTATTAAAGTGTGCCGACAACTTACAATATGCAGGTACTATGAATACGTATAGATTAAAAAGAAACTTTTTTCTTGTATGCAATTCTTTTTAGATATCAAGCTTAATTTTAGGCCGTGGCTACTAGTAGGTGCTTTTTCACTAATCAAAATAATTGTAACAAAATATCACTATTGATTTTAAAACTATTGGGTTAATATCACTATTGATTTTAAAATTTGGGTTCATAAAAGTTTTTACATCTAATAATATATAAAAAGTGAATTGAAGCTTTTAAAAGACTTACGATTTTGAAACACAAAAGAAACTGGGAGGTAGACAGATGTTTTGAGGATAAACAGATTTTTTTTGTCTAAGGCATTATGCCACTATATGTTTAGAGCAGTATAAAGGCTGCTGATTAATCTTATTTCAATTCCAGAGTGTTCACTGCTCATACTTACGGAAGACTATCAAAAAGTGAATTGAAGCTTTTAAAAGACTTACGATTTTGAAACACAAAAGAAACTGGGAGGTAGACAGATGTTTTGAGGATAAACAGATTTTTTTTGTCTAAGGCATTATGCCACTATATGTTTAGAGCAGTATAAAGGCTGCTGATTAATCTTATTTCAATTCCAGAGTGTTCACTGCTCATACTTACGGAAGACTATCAATGCACTTTTGGTCTTCGTGAATCTGACCTTCTCTTCCCCATCTCCTTTTTTTTCTCTCTTTAGCAATACAGCTAAATGGAAGTGCTATAATAATTTCTGCCCATTGCCTGTAGACAGGAATGTTCTGTTCTTAAACAGTAATAAAATACTATAAAATAGTAGGTATTGGAGTTGGAGATATGTGCTCTTTTGGTGCATATTTTGCAAAGAATGGTAAAAAGACAGACAACATGACCCCAACAATTGCTAGCATATACCCCCATCCAATCTGGCAGTCTCCTGCATAGTAGATGTCTGAATTCTCACAGAATCTCTTCACAGTAGCAGAGTTGAAACCAAAAGGGTAAACCAAAAGCCCAGAAGCCATTATGAACACTAGAGAGGAGGAAAAAAACACACCAATTATTATTGTAGCAGAGTAAACCAGAGGGGTAAACCAAAAGCCCAGAAGCCATTATGAACACTAGAGAGGAGGAAAAAAAAATCTTTTAGAAAGGCAAATATATGTTATATTAAAATCAATGGAAAAAGGCATGCATTAAAAATCCTTCTTTTAGAAAGGCAAATATATGTTATATTAAAATCAATGGGAAAAGGCATAGCTTAAAAAAAAACCCCTTATGACTGGCAGATTATCTTCCTTTTCGTAATTGCCTCTTACAGACAGCAGTGTCATAACATGGTAGCAAGTTGGCATTGGGATTTTTTTCATGAGAACTGTTGCCCATTACATAGCTTCAGAAACATTGTAATCCAAATTATGTAGCCATTTAAAAAGTAAGATGATTCAGATATAATGGAATCCAGAGGAGGAGAATTCCCAAGTTTGCAGATTCCAAACCAGCTTGATTTTCTTCTCAATAGCATTTTTGTACTCGAGACAAAAAATTACTTTGTTCTGCCAAATAAAAACTTTCAATGAAAGAGTTTAAATGTAGTTTTTCAGATTCTGCTGATTAGGTTCTGATAATGTAAGCACTTTCTCATTGTTCTCATTATTCCAAACTCAAATTGTTTAAAAAATCCTGCATTTGACCCAAAGATTGTGAGATGAAAAACAATACAATCTGTCTTCTTTTTATTTAGCTTTTAGCGTTGGAGTCTTTCAGTATATTTTTTTTAATTCTCTCTGTAAACTTAAGGATTAGAAAAATTTTTGACCTAAGTTTGAGACCTAAAATATTAAGACCTAAAGTTCCTATATTACCGAATTTTGACAGCTTGGGCTTTAAAAACACACAATAAATATAACAGGACATGCTGTAGAAATCTAAAGGTTCAGTACGTAAAGGCACAGAGTTAAAGCAGCAGGAAATCTCTCCCAGTGAGTCGCCTTTTACTCCTTCTAGCCAAATACACTAGCAGATTAAGCCAGTGCATAATGAAGAAATATGTCTAAAAGACAAAGCTTAAGCCACCTCTTGATGTTGGAAAGCCAGACTTGCCTCCTGCAATTACACTGTCTGTATTATCTGTTAGCTTTTAACAGAACTTCGCAGATTTTGCAGGCTGTAATGAATACACGTTATATTTAAATATCATGGCTTATGCAATTAATTTAATGAACAGCAGAACTACTTTTCCAGCTTTGAAAATAAGACTGCCCAAGGTATAAATCATGATTATGATAACGATGCATTAAAATACTCCAGGTACAGTCCCCAGAGCCTGTTTCTGCCCACCTTGGAAGTCAAGAGGGCCTGAGCCAGGCTGCTGTGAGGGGTTACACCATCCCAGCCATTGCGTATACCCCTTGTTTGAGAGAACACTGAGGAACCAGTTTTTCTTTTCTAGCCTTTCTGCTGATGAATAACCACTGTATTTAAAATCTATAGTCTATTTTAAAAGGCTTTATTTTAGGTACTAAAAAGATACCACGAAGCAGTCCCTTTTCCTACCTTCCCATTCTTCCAGGATTTGTTCAAATTCAGGGTGGATTGTTAGTGGCTCAAGAGTAGTGGTAATCAGAATTAACTTATGTTTGAGCTGATAGATAATTCATAACCAGCAAACATCTAATGAAACATTAAGATTATAAAACAAATGCTACATGCTATTCTCTGTATTTGTAATTGTCTTTCAGGTAGGGCATGTGCATATTACTCTAATTACAATATTGGAGAGGCTTAATCTTAAAAGTATCCACTAAAATAGGGCAGTCACTCATTAATCTTTTTTAATTAAAAAAACCCAACACTTTAATAAGCTTGAGGGCTACATGAAGTCAAAAAGTTTAACAGACTCAGTCCCTGAATAATTTGAATTAAACCTTTCCTTCTAGTCTAAATGCAACCGCTGAGTTAATCCCTTGTAAAAAACCAGTAAGACCAAGAAAACAGAAATTAAAAGGAGAGAAACTGGAACAGAAGCAACCTTGCAAGTCTGTTCCCCTCTAGGGTAACTCATGTATGGGTACAAAGAGAAACTGCCTGCCAGTAAGTGGGGCTCTCTGACAGCAAGGTGCTTTTACCTGCCCTTGCTCCCACAACCACTCTCTCTTCCTTTAAGCCTTTACGAATGACAAGTTTTCAGTGATTCCCGAGGAAAGAACACTGTGGCCTTCCCCTCTTTCCAGGCTCAAGGTGTGTGAAGCTGATGCTGCAGGAGCCAGTTAAGGGAAAGGTCCTCCCCAGCGCAGGCAAGGTCTTGAGCACATCTCACACTCCCTGATATGGAACCAGCTGCACCTGCAGAGTTTCCAGGACAGGAGGGAGCTCACAAAGCTCAGCACTGAATTCTTAGTGGCTGTGCCTGCGCATTTAGGCTCTACCATTAAGCAAACATATAGAAGTTGAAGCTAAATAAAGAAGTAAGTTGTATTACGCAGATCTCCCTTAACTACACACATATGACACCACTAAAAACAATACAAAATTAAAATATGATAAAATAAAAATGAAGCTAAACTAGACACACACACACAAACAACTTGTCTAGCAAAGGTCACTGAGCTTTCTTCCCAAAAGAAGAAAAAGAGCTAAGGGCCAGAACGCTTCTTTTGTTCAGTAGCACAGCCTGAAAGTTGTGTGACACTCTTGCACGCCCAGGAGAATTCCCTGAGCACCACCTCTGTAGGCAGAAACATGGGAAGCAACCTTGGAGAACAACCAGAAAAGAGGGAGACTTCTCCTACTGCTATTGTAACGTTTGAGAGTGTTAAACCGCTAAGCTGAGCAACAAGCTAAACCATGTTAATCCATAGACCTATGTAGGCTGTAGCATTCACTCGTGGGCTAATACAGCTAGGAAGTGGAACAACGTCCTACCTAAGAGACTGTGACGTGAAGTGGATACACCGCGTAGCCCCACTCAAAACCCAGGCTGCTCGACTGCATGAAGAATCTTGAAATAGCCCCATGGTGCAAAACCTTCTGTAAAATGTTGGGCCCATTTGCAAAGGAAAGTGAGCCAGTTTTAAGAGAAACAGCAACTGCTCTAAGCAAGAAGCAGGTCTAAAATTAAAATTTCAGTTTGTTCATCTTTTCAAAGCCAAAATAGTCCATGCATCTCATTCGGCAAAAGAAAACATTGTGCAGAATTGGAAGCAATCTTTTTATCATAAAATCCTTTTAAACTTTGCTAACTGTTACAATTTGCTGTTTTTCTGACACTATCTCAGCCCCTTGCTCTACTTCACGTATCTGTCCATATATGTTTTCTTTTTGACTGGGCCACACAGAATTATTTTGAAGGTTGTGCTTTACAGTGCCACCAGTGTTTTGATTGCCACTTGGTGCTGACGTTGTATGGTGTGATTTAATGGAAGAAGCTTTTTTTTTTTGAAGGCTAGAAATAATCTGTCACAGTCGAATGTAATGTGTTCACATATCAAACGGGCTAAAAAGTTACCCATGGTTTCATATCCTCAGGCATGTCATAGAATGACCTCATTCTCATTTAGGTGCCCTCTTTCTTACAAAGGCTCAAAATATTGAATAGCCTGTTATTATCAGCAGAAGCCAAGCTTTCAGACATGGTGCTAATGACTGCTTAATAGTGCTGTCTATCAGCAGTGCAGTTAGCTGGGAGAGCACACAAAGAAACAGTGGGGCTCCATTTAGGCTCCTCATATAACACTTAGGCCTCTGCACGGTTTTCCAACAACAAACATTGCTTTAAAAGCTGTCAGAATACAGTAGTGAGTGCATCTTACCATTATGTGTAGTGTAATCCCGCTGTCATGCAAGATGATGAGGCGGCTAGACAACGTATTTGGGTCTGTTGTATAGCATGAAGCATAGGGAGAGTGGAGGGGACTTGCTGGTAAAATGGATAGCTGGAGTTCTTTTTTTAACATGGCTTGACCGATCATTTGATTCATCTCCCATCAGCTATTGGGTCTTGTTAAAAACATGCATTTTTTAATTTTAATATCTGACACACAGTGTTTGTTATTGCTAGGTCCTCATCCCCTGAGCTCTCGCCAGTAAGTCGCAGCCACTGCTGACTGCAAGGCTGTTTAAAGTCAAGTCCACGCGCACTGGCTAAACTGTAAGTCACTTTTTATTTCTACTTTCTAATCTTCTGCCCTCCTAAACAGTTACAGTCTCACCCTCATCCTCTTGCATCCTCTTTACTTCACTGGTGTCCTACAGCCGGACAATAAATGGCAGTTTCTCCTCTGAAGGTCCTAGCCAAGGCAGGACCTCTGTGCCGTGCTCTTGCTCCCTGTGCAGGCCCAAGGCTTAAAAAAAATGGTTTACCTATTTTTTTAAAAAAACTAGATTCCCAAATTTGTCGATTTGTAAATAAAAAAACTTTAATTAACAGGTATAAGATACTATTAGAAAGGAGGACACTTCTTTTTAGGGAAAGCAGGGCATTTTGTAGAAAAAGTTGTAAATTGTTGGTGATAATACTGAATCAATGACACTTCTACTCAGGGAAAATAACATTTTCTGCTATTTTAAAATCTAATAAACTATAACTATTTGTCATTGCAATGGTTCATTCATTTCATTAAGCTCCTGAAATACTGTTTAATTATTTAAATGTATCACACACCGTTTTCAAGTTTATTTTAAACCAGACAAACCAAAGTAATGCAGTTCTCTAGAGTGTGTGTAGAGGGCACCAATGTACAACTCTCTTAAATACCATGCACAAAAAATGGCTATTTCCATTTCCACTTCTTTTGGCAAGACTGATGGTTTTCAATGTATGAAACAATAATTGAATAGTTTTCTGTATTGTGAAGCAGGAATGTGAAAACTTGGCTAAGCTTATGTGTATCCTTCCATAGTAATGTTGAAAGGGATGGAAATCCAGAGGTGGACTGCAAGTATTATAGAGAACAGAAGAAGCTATTTTATTTTATTGTGTTTGTTACTCTGTTTAGATGATGTGTAGTAGCAGTACTGATCACCAGTAGTAAA